AGTAGAAGTAGTAGTAGTACAAGTAGTAGTAGTAGTAGTAGTAGTAGTAGTAGTAGTAGTAGTTGTTGTTGTAGTTGTAGTAGTAGTCGTCGTCGTCGTCGTAGTAGTTATCCGGAAGTAGTATGGAGGAGCAGGAGCAGGAGCAGCAGCAGAACAGCAGGCTTCCCTTACGCGTGCTGCTCATGCCGCGCCGACAACAAGTCGGGGCCGCGGCATGAAATCAAAGATACTTTGCAACAACAGTATCGAGGGATTTGGAAATGCCAGTGGCGGCCTTGCAAGGTCTCGAGAACCACAGTGAAGTCTACCAGGTCGGCGCTGGCAAGGGTAACATAGGTCCCACCCTCCTGCATGGCTGACGAGAAATCAGACCATCTGTCATTGTGTTGTGTCGTGTTGCCATGTCGAACCGTGAAGCCGGTCAGCGTTCCAAGAGCAAGTTGCAACCACGCGCATGAGCTCAGTTTGAAAGTGGCGGTTCCCACCATCGGCCACTCGAGTAGCTGCGTTAAGTTTCCAGCGAGCTGACCCACCTTGCTCCGAATCCGAACAATGCAAAGCCTATCGCCCCAAACTTTCCAGGGCAGCGAGCTCTGCATCCTTTGACGGCACAACCCTTTGGCAAACAGCTACCCGGACCTACCCCTTAGCCGGTGAGAGAGGTCCGGCAAGTTGCCGGCACCCTGACCAGCCGGCAGATAGACCCAGCCTCGGTATCTCTCTGTTTCGACTGTTTAGAGGCAATACGTTGGCAATACGTTGTGACACAAGTTGGCTCTGACTTCATGCCACCCTCCCTGGAGGACTGAAACCTAAACCCTGCACTCTCAAGTCCAAGCCATTCAATGTTTCTGAAGCAGAGAAACCCGCGAGCACAACTCAGTACTGTACAGGTGTACCTACATCTGTACACCTGTCCAGGAGCCGGCAAACGGGGAACGCCATGCCGTTACCACATCGATACTAAGAAACACATGAAAGAAGACCTTCCTTCTCCTACTCCCTCCGCTCTACTGGCCAAGGTAAAAAGCCGTGTCTTCGCCCAGCCACTATAGTCTCTAGTCTCTACAGCACACCAATTCACGCGTGACTCCTCTGCACCGCTCCTCGACACTGCCGCTTCGGACGGCTGGCTCGCTTCTCGAGCAACCCGAAAATACCCCCGCCCAACCACCACTCTCACACATCTCCCATGCAGACTTAGCGAAACCCAAATTTCTTTCTTTCCAATCCCGAGGCGTGGCATGCTTCAACGACTTGCGACTCGACGTCAGCCCAATATCTGTTTCATTGAGAGGAGGCTGCAAGATGCAGCAACGGGGCTGTCTCAGGCACGCTCAATGCCGCAAAAAGAATAGCCATCTGAGCCAAGGGCCGATTTTGGTGAACTGCGTGGTGTGAGCTGACATCCACACTGGTGCCATGACCTGTTCATGTGGCGACCCCGGCTCTTTCCCGCAAGCTGGACCGGCACAGTCGTGGCACACGTGCATATGGCACATTATGCATCAGAACCACTGGCAAGACAAATGCATGCACCAAGGCTCAGAACCGCATCTGGCCATGTGTGCGTAAAAGTTTACAAAGTCGCCACTCAAAGAACGAGCGATCCTGAGCCGTTGACTGCACTCCTGGCTACGAATGGCTACGCTGAAACCCGACAGTGCCCTACACCCTGACCCTACATACCTTTTGGACTGTCTTAGGATGCAAACAGGGCTACCTCGACAATCGTCCAAAGGAGAAGATTGTACAGTCGCCGCACAGAAAATGCCGAAGACAAAGATTCACAGCACCCGAGCAATTCGTTCTCACAGTTTTGCAGCTACGATTTCGAGATATTTCGAGAACAGCGGTAGCAGCAGCAGCAGCTAGAGCTAGAGATGCAGAGCTACCAGGTAAGCTACAAGCTAGAGAGCGGACAGCTCGGAGTTCTGCCGCCCGGCTTGCTGCCACTGAAGGTTTCTAGTAGTAAATTGCCTGGTGAGGCCAAGTTCAAGGCCTCGTAATGACCACTCCATGGCTCAAAGGCATAGAGGAGGCCATTCCCGAAGCACTCCAAGTTCGGGTAGACGCTCCTGGCGAGCTCGTCACAGGCTTATTGTAGCACAGACCACAGACGCTGAGGAGGAGTGGGAGGCATGGCAACATGAGTTCTAACAATCACGAGCCCGTCTCAGCAACTTTCAAGAACATCACTTTGCGGTTCTCTCACCTTGTATTTATTCGACTCTGACTCTCACGAGCGTACACGGCAGGCCTTGCAAGGTTGGGGGTATCTCGACATCGTGGTACAACTCACTTGAGCGTGCTTGCCGAGGCACCAAATCAAGGACCAAGCTATCGAGGAGGTCGCGTTCATCCGAACCTCAACAATCGACTTGGGCCTGGGCCTCCCAACCCAGCTCGGCGTCACAAAGTCACAAAGCCCTTGCAAATGCGCTGGCTGCCACCGTGCCTGGTACCCAGGCACATGCCCGGCGGCATGGCAAATTATATACGGGGTGCTGAAGAGGCCTCCAAAGTAATTAGAGTGCTTACTCTGAGGTCTTGCTCCGGGATTGCCCTTGCAAGATGATGCAGTACTGCGAGTGTAAGGAGATGAGCAGCCCTGAGCAAGCAGCGTAATTTTGGTTGATCATCCTGCCCCAGCACCCAGCGCCGCCCCAGTCGGCCACCGTCGAGGTCTCCTGCCCAGGGTCCAGCTTTGTGTTGGCTGTCATGACTCCGACCTGAAAACTGTCGACATCCCGTAGGCTGACAAAGCAAAGGGGCAAACGCAAAGCTGCGAAACGAACTTGTGGTCTGAGGACGACGATGACAACGACGAGGATGGTCATACCGAGGATGATGACGGTGGCGTTGGTGCTGGTAGGGACGGGGGCAAGGCGACGATGGCGTTAATGCTGAGGATAACGAGTGCGATGGCAATGATGGTGACGAAGCTGTTTTGTTGAAAGCACCCGCTCGCAGCTTTTGCTGCTGCTGCTGCTGTTGTCGGAACGAGGCGAGTCTATCCCTCGAGGAAAAATATCTGCACTGCTGACATACTGGCTGAAGTGGACAGAAATGCTGGCTGAATTTGGATGTTTGCGGCAAGATTATGTCAGCCCCCACGGCTGGGACATAATGCCCTCGGCACGGCACAGAGCTTGGGAGAATGTGCTACCCTCGTGCAGCTGCCATGCTTCTCGAGGGTTTCAAGTACCCTTTTGCCTCCGATGCCCAGAAGCGTGTGGAAGGGTGCCGCCGCAGTGCTTCGCTGAGCTGCTCATTGCCGTTGCCTCAGATATTGTCTTCCATGGTGAACGATGCGGTGCACGTCATCATGGCAAAAATCACTTCACATTATTCATGTCGTCTTGCTGGAAAACGAGCCACGGACTGAAGCATGTACGTTGCAACCACACCCTCCGAAAGGACCTCTTCCCGAAAGGGCAAACAAATAGCCCAGGGCCCGGACAGGGATAGTGCAGCCCAACTGCCGAGATCAGCTCCTGGAACCGCCTCGGCCATATATTAATATCTACGAAAGAGATACCCGTCTGTGTACATGCAATTCGTTTACTTGTCCATATATAAACAAAGAGATACATTCTGTATAGGCCCAAAGATCGAACCACATACGTACCTATCTAGCTACCTGCCTACCTGCCGACATACAAATATACATTTGTACATGTATACACACATACATAGATACGGACCGGCACATACATAAGCCCAGCATTCTGAATGTAACATTATGCGGAGATAAAACCTGCAATACGTCAAAGGACTTAGCCTAATGTCTGATATAACAGAATGTACATAGGTACGCTATGATTATGATACACCGTCAAAATCAGAGAACTGGCGTGATGCTGGCTGTTCGAGACAACAAGACTTTTTGCTGCGTGTCTGGCTTGAGCAGTGCCGCACCGCATAGATCCGCATCGTCGGCCAAACTCACACAAGGACCTCTCTTCAACTCCGATAAGAGTGCGGTATTCCCGACTAGATGTCTGCATGGCCACGGCCTGGTACTTTGAAGGGGCCATAGATATCAATCGTGGGGTAGGTCTTCGGCATCAAGATATCTTCCGACATGGCTAGGCTTTCTTGGCCTTCCAACCTCAGCAGGGCCCTCAAGAGGGACTCCTGTGTGCGCTTTGCCTCCTTGTAGTTGCCTGTGTTGTAAAAGCCTTTGAGCTCCACCTCCCAGTATTCTCCTAATGCGGAAATCTGCTTGAAGCGGACGCCAGTGTCTCCAGAGCTGAAACTGCCACCGGGTAAAGTCCCTAGCCCTGGGAACCGAGTCCCGAAACCTGTGCCTGTGATGCTATAAATGGTATCCGCAATCCACTGCTGCATTGAGACCATGACATCAGCCCCATAGGCAATCCCAACATTGAAGCGACGCTCATGGCCGGGAGTAAGAGCCGCATGTCGACCGTCCCCGAAGGCATTCAAACTTACTTCTGTCCTGGCGAAACCATCAGCAAGGAAAACAGGCCCTCCCTTAGCCGTGCAAACAGGACCGGAAGCAATGTTCATACCTGCCGAGATTATCAGCTGGACGTCCACAGTCTGGCCATCGGATAAAGTTCTGTTGCAAAGCTGCCCCATTGCATGATCCAAGCATATCTCCAAACCAATCTTGAGGCCTCCTATGTTCAGCAAACCATTCGGCAGCTCAACATCATGTCCGAAGCCTAGCTGTTGCAGCAAATGTCTGGGCAATCGGCCATATGTACAACCGTTGGAGTCCGGATACTTTCGACAAAACTCATGGGAGCTGTGGGGTGGTGGTGGAATCACGCGAGAGTCCTCAGGGCCTGCTTTCAGAAAGTCAATGCCACTGACGAAGCGCTTGAACTTCAAATACGTAATCTTCGTACCGCCGACATGAACAGGGGCAAAATTGAAGTATGTAATGTTATCGCCTGGTCGACCGGACATGCGCACATACCGCTCGTCAGTGGTTTGGGCCATTACCACCGTGCCATCAATGATCAACCAATGCTTGAAGCGCTCATGTGAAAATCGGTTGAAGATAAATTGCACCGTGGAGTGTGCCACGTGCTCGAGTCCAGGTGAAATGCGATATGCTCCCTGCTTGCCGCGCCAGTAGAACTCCGGGAGTAAAACGATTTTCAGAGTGCTGGGACTTCGATCCCAATGTTCCGAGGAAAATGCCCGCTCAACCGCATCAATCAAGATTTGCAGGCGCCGCTCAACGTCATCACGTACCTTGTCACTACCTAAGTAACACTGCTCCATCTCATCCCCATCGCCAAAGCAGCCATCCGCTTCAGTTCCAGGTGCAGTGAACAGGTTCATGCCAAGGTACTGCACAGCACTGTACTGCTGGCCATCAACTAGAACGGTTGGAGCAGCATATCGCGTGGCGTTCTGCACCGAGGCAAGGTCTGTCTGAAACCAACATGCCAAACTTATCAGCGAAGCGAGTAGCATCGTGCCGACTATGGCCTTACATTCTGACCCTCCGAGTTTCCAAGATATCCACGTGGCCCAGGCATGCTTCAAAGACTGCCTGTCATCGTCAAATCTTGGCAGAACCCAGTTGTTCTCGCGCTCTGCATCAACTGATTCCAGCAAGGAAGAGGCAAGATGCTTCTGCGACATGCTGCTTGTCAGCATTTATGGCTTGGTCTTGGTCTTTGAGCATTACGGACTAGGGTTCCGGAGGTTGGGTTATGCAGTCATGCATGCACGGTTCAAGAGAGCTGTGCTCAACTACAGGGAGGAATCTGCAATATCCAGAGCAGCCTTCGATTTCCGTGCCGCGTTCAGCCTGGGATGCGGGCTCATCTTCCTCGAATTTGCTCAGGAAGTCCTGCTTTACCTGTGAATCAACCGCATCCTTGGCAGCAAACAGCGAAGGCAGCAAAGCGTACTGACAGCGACAATACTGAACACTACGGCTCTGTGCCGAATCCGGACAACGCCAATGCCGTGATAACACATGGCACAAGGTAGTTTTGGCTGCTTCTTGTCTGCATTTCCGAGGCTGACACGAGCATGACCAGCTTGGTTGTCAAGTTTGCTTCCTGGTATCCAGGCTTGACAAAAACTGTACACAAATGGCTTCCTAGCTTCAGCATGCCCAGTTACCAAAGACACCACACGACCGTTCCTTGATTGCGGCAGCAAGATCGGACACGTACCAAGCTGCACCTTGCAGAGGCAGGTTCAGCAACAAAAATGTCGGGTCACTTGACATTGAAAGGAGAAAACCGAAGCTGACTGCACGACTCTGGGGCTCAGCACCCCAATCTCGCTCGTTCCAAATTCCGACGTAGTCAATTTCAATGTCAAGGGTCTCCTGTCCGACAAGTCAGCACTTGAAGCTCACGACACCCCTCAAGCTGCATCAGCACGAACTTCAATGATGCAATTTGAGATTTCCGCATCTCACACTATCATAGCATTAAGTCATGGGTGCTGCACCTGAAATACTCCCAGCCTTGATGCACTTCAGCCAGGACACGTGGTAAAAGATGTTGTCCTGCACTGAAGCGTTCCAGTGAGAAGGCTCTCAGTCTTTCTCGTTCCAAGTGCATCCCTATTCCTCTATAAAAAAAATTCGGCGTTCGCGTAGACCCCTCCAAATCCGCGAGATGTCCAGCCCAAATCTTGCACTGCCACAAGTAGCAGTCGGCGGTGACTGTTGATTCAGACCGCACTGCAGTCTGCCGCACAGCCTTTTGCCGTTGACTGGACTGCCAACGCCAATACACGCCTCGTCTATATTTCAACACCCCCCCTAATGATAAGAACACTTTCCGGGGATCCCCATGAAATCATCTCCACCATTTACAACCTTTTTTTGAATTAGGGAGATGTAAGAGCAACAGCAGACAGAGTAGGACCACTAGGCAAAAAACGGGAGCAAGAGCCCCGACAGGAGCGGGAGGAAGAGCAGGAGCAGGCGCAAGAGCCGCAGCGGGAGCCGGAGCAAGAGCAGGAGCAAGAGCCGCTGCAGCAGCTGGAGCAAGAGCGAGAGCTGGAGCAATATCCTCCCCAAGCGTGACGAGTAGAGATAAAAATAACCCCTATAATACCAACAAAAAATTCGAGGTGTTATTGAGGGCCCCCCGTTTAAATCAGGGGGAAACGATTGTACGTCAGGCTCGAAGGAGAAAGACACTCATGTTGCAGCCTACACCTCCGTAATCACTCGCTCGTCGAACAGGCCGTCAATAGCACGCAGCAAGCCTTGCTGAAGAAGGTGCCATTTCCGATCCAGCCCGGAACGCCCCAGGCCTAGTTCAGGCTGAGTGGCTGCAATGACTCTCGACCAGGCACTTTCATGTCTTATAAGTTCGCTTTACAGGAGGCTCTCGTCAAAGGCACTTGTGGTAGAAAACTGGGGGCATGGGCTCTCTTCAGACTATTCGGCATGCACGCTCTTCGGACTGTGCTCGTTGTGGCCCCTATTGATAATCTGCCAAATGCGGCCCAATGCATCTTGCTAGATTCACGGCAAATCTCTCAGCCTCGCAAATCCTGCTCCCTTCCGCGGATATACACCGTCCGGGGCGCACGCAAGGCCGTATGTCCGGATGTCGGGGTTCCGCACCTGCACAGGCTTCCAAGTGTTTGTTCGCGACTTCTGGTTTTACCTCTATATGTTCCTTTGGAGTGATAAAGCAGCAATCATGTCGCCAACAGCCGATCCGAGGTTCGAAAGAGTTGAGGGTCCTTGTCATGAGCCGAGCATATCTGTCGGACTCGGCTTGGGCCGGGCCCGCCATGCCCGCCTTCGCCTCCTTAAGCAGCCAGGCCTCAGGAAGAGTTACCAGGTGCATCAAACGCAGCAGGCCACCGGATCTATGCAAGCACAGACGAGCTCTGCCGACACTGCCTGCGCTGGCTTCTGGCTTCGCGTGTCGTGAGTGTCTGTTTGCCAGGAAATCTCGCCGACTTCCTGCCTCGTAGCCCCGTAGGCAGTCTGCTTTCTCGCCTCTTCACAGCAGCTTTGGCTCAGCTGTCGTTGCACCCAGGCTGCAAGACTGAAGCTGCAACCGAACAGAAGCATACTACAACAACGCTGAACCCATTTTTTGTCCTAACAAATTAAAAGCCTCCACCTCCGCATGCCTCCATTGCTTGTTGCGACTCTTTTCCACACCGGGTCGTGCCGGTCAGCTGGGCAGGATGTCGGAGAAAAACATGCTTCAGAGATTTCAAGAGGTGGCCGATCCCGTCGCATCGGATACTCTTGTTGGTGCTCGCTTCACTTAAACAGTTGCAGCCTCGGGTGGACAGCTTATGCCTTGGCATCCTCCTTGGCCATGTGCTTGATCAAATCGACGACGCGGCAGCTGTAGCCCCACTCCTGGGCTGTACGTGGATTCCTTTACAACATGTAAGTTGCGCTGTTCTGCAGATAAAAAAAAGCTGAGACCATACTAAGAAAAGTGTTCAGCAAAGGCGGAGACTC